TTGGTAGGATTCTCACCCTGACTAACTATATATGCTGATACCTGTGAACTATGCAACTGCACTGAATAGCAATGTGCAATGGTAGGTTCATGCTAGGGATGCCTGTCATTCTGGTCTTCTGAATACATACTGCTTGTCATGACATACCAGTTACTACTGTCTCTCAAGTAAATGTTTGTTCTAAAAAAGAGGGATGGTAATAAATGAAAACAATAGACAAGAAAAGAAATATCATAGGACTGTCCTGCTACAATGCTGTATATGGTTAGATTTCTAAATATCAGTGTAAAAATATGTAGCTGTTTATTGCTAGTTTTAAAAATATTTTTTTATTTTTTTCTTCATATTCTGTAGGGACTTAAAGTTTACCATATCAATACTTGATAGAAAATACCTGGTCCATATTATGCCTAAGATGTTTGATATTCAGATGGATAGTGAGGTTAAGCTCAATTGCCTACGTTATAGGGTACTAATATCATTAAGCTTCTCTTCTGGAGGGTTCACAACCTAAGTTTACAGACCAAAAATTAGAGAAAAGAAATGGCTGCAGGGACAGCCAATATTTTGGTCCTACCCTATCAAGGTCAGTGAGGACTCAGGACATAAGAGAACGTATACTGCAACATCCTGTAACTCAGTGATATCCCAAATCGTCTGATCAAGGAGATTATAGGGCCACAGAGGAAAGTGATCAATGTTGTAGAGTGTGCCTAAGGAAAGTCACATGGAGTGAAAACATTCTCTCAGGCTTTCACAGAGAGCAAATTGGTCAAGTAATGGCCGTGACTCATCCACGTGGCTGACGCTGACAAAGGATCTAAACTGTGGCACAGGAGTTCAGGGTAAATCCTGAGGGGATTTGATTGACCTTGTCTTTTCAGATACAAAATTACATTTCTTTTTATATAGGCCATGCTTTGTCTTTGTCTCAGCCATCCAGCACAAAAGTATAAAAATGAAGTATAAAAGGTAACGCCATATTAATATGCTGAGCTGTAAAAGGCTCAAGTCAACAACTTCTGACACTGCCAGTCTTATGGAAAACCCACTACTATTATGGACCATTGGGGTATATTGGAATAGTTTGCTGATTCAAGTATCTACAATATTTAAATGACAATGGAATATCCTTCTCTGACAAAACTAAACAAAAGGGTTGAAACAAATGAACAATCATTTTGTATTTGTATATTCAGAATAGTTAGGATAGATATTCAGCTGCATTCTCTTAATTCAATGAATAGAGAGATTTGTTCTAATAGGGTTTGTGAACAGGATATCATGTCTACATCTTGTACAATAAATAACCATTAAGATAACCATTCCATGATGCTCCTGTCATGTTTCCTAGTTCTTCTCCTTGGCATCTCTTGGTTGTCTAATCCTCAAGTTCTTGCTTTCTTTTTAATTGTGTTAAACTTTCTGTATTTATTTCTTCTTTTGATATTAATAACATTAATATGCAATGTTTTAATTTTTGAAACTGTGCTAGTAATCGGTTTTGAAACAGTCTCATTGCTATTTGTTTCTCAGTAAAATTATTGAAAATGCTGTACAATTGCTATTTGTTTCTCTATAAAGTCAATAAAAATAAATATGTCAATTCTATTATCCTTAATTTTTCTAGGGATAGCATTTATTTTCTCATGGCAAGGACTGATCTGGCTTCCTGTACAACTACAACGCTCTTGACAAGATTCCCTTTCCATGATGCTCTTCCAACATTTGCCGGAGTAGAGAACAAGATATTCTCTATTTTTGTTCAAAATAGAGAACAAAAAGAATGATTGAACTCATGATAGCCATAATTTTAGGAATAATAGCCATCATAGCTACAGCTGCTACAGCTGGAGTAGCACTGAGCCAAGATGTACAAACTGTTCATTTTGTACAGCAGTGGTATAAGGATTCAAAACACTTACAGACTCACAAAATAACAGATTTAGAGTTAAATACTATGATAAATGATTTAGAACAAGCTGTTGTTATGATGGGAGATCACATTGTTAATTTACAATGTCAACTTCAGTTAAAATGAGATTAGAATACCTCTTCATTCTGTATAACTTGAATTCCATGGAATCAAATTTGTTTCCCATTGGAAAATGTAAAAAGGCATTTATTGCATCATGGTAATATTACGGCTAAGATCCTGTGTCTTCAGCAACATATTGATAATACGTTTGTAAAGCAATTATCAGAATTGTCTGGTACTGATCTGTTACAAAGCATCTCAAATGTCATTGAAAACCTTAATCCTTTTCATGTTATCCCATAGTTTAGTGCAAGTGTAGTAGTGATTTTTCTATGTTGTCTTTGTACTTTTTGTATATCCTGCTTCATCTGGCAACAAGAATGAGTCCAGCAACAACTCATGGATCAAAAATCTGCAGTTCTCACCCTAATGCTTCAAAAGCTTTCAGCATAAAAACAAAACAGGGAGTTACGGAAATGTAGATATGAGATGAAAGCCTAATGTTCCAAGGGTGCAGGGAGCAATAAACAGAGCCCAAGAAGAACTGTAGTCCTACTTGTAAACTCCAGAAAGCTGGGATTCAAGGCTGCAGATAACAGCTTCTCCTGTTGGCACCCTGTTCTTTGATCCCTTGCTTGGGATATTATCAGCTAGCATTTGTGTATACCTCATATTGAGCAAAAGGTGGAAGTCGATAGAGAAAGTAGTTTGTGTTCACCAAAGTAATTATGCCTATTTCTTAGCCCTCAATAAATGTGAGATGCTCATTTGGCTCTGGGCTCACTTAGAAAGAGACTAATCTCAGTGAAACCTCTGAAGCTATATTCATTGGGTCTTCTCATTGTTTCTTTCAACACCAACGCATAACATACAACATACCTCCATATAACCACATACTCTCTTCACTTCTTTATTTCCCAGCCTATAGCAATCTGCCCAAATAGATTGAAAAATAAAGAAGGGAACACATATAATTTGGAAAAGATACATAGAGACAGATAGATGATAGGTATGAAGGTAAGTAGATAGATATGATGTAGATAGATAGATGCAGTTGCTTTTTTTTCTTCTTCTAGTACTAGGGATTGAACTCAGGACCTTGCACTTGCCTGGCAGGTGCTTATGCCACTGAGCTATATCCCTGACCTAGATAGATAGATGGATAGATAGATAGATAGATAGATAGATAGATAGATAAAGATACAAGTAGTAGAATGGGGAAACAAGAAAATAAAAGATCTCCTAACCTCCCCCTGCAACTCCTTCAAGATACAGCAAGAAGTTATAAGTGAAGAAGAAAACAATACCAGAAACGCAGGCCCGGCGAGTGAGTGAGATGACCCGGGGCCCTCCGGATCCTGAACAGACCCAGAACGCAGGCCCGGCGAGTAAGTAAGATGACCTGGCCTGGTGGGATCCTGAACAGACCCAGAGCGCAGGCCCGGCGAGTGAATGAGACCACCAGGCCCGTGGATCCTCATTCGACCCAGGCTACAGGCCCAGCAGGGAAACCTTCAGCAGAACTCCCTGCAAAGAGGCTAGAGGCAAGACCCACCCCAGCTGATTCAGGAGCAGAATATTTTCCCAGAGAGACACAAAGGGTTCAGCTCTAAAGCCTGCAGCAGAAAGAAGTGGAGCACAGCAGCCAGATCCAAACAACACCCACCTGGAAGAATCTGAACTTCATAGATCTGGACCTGGTGCTAAGGTAATA